GTGTTAAAGAAATATTTAAATGTTTATATTGTTTGTTTGATTCTTTTAGCTACAATGTTCGACAAACAGTAGATGGTTGATACCGCGAACTTTAAACGGTTTTCTGAAAGGGTAATTTCCTTCTCATTCGTGGGCTGCACTGTATTGATGGCTCTTTGATAAGTGGTCAGTTGGTGTTTAGGAAGATAATGACGACACTCGTCTATGATTAATGCCAGAACAGACACCATCCACCCCTCCCCCGCCCGCCGTACCGGCCCAACAATCCAGCGTCATATCTCACGCCGGTCGCCGGGGATGTCCACTCTCCGGCCCTTTATTACGGCCAGCGGTCAGTCAAAGCCTGGGCGTGTCACCGGTACTGACCAGTGGTCAAGCGAAAGATTCCCACGCTGACCGCTGGGGTTAATGTTCCGGCCAGGGGTGCAGGTGGTGAAAGGCCGAAGCGACTCGGGACCTGAAGTCCAATCAAAGCAAAACACTTGAAGGAGAGAAGCGGCAAAAGTCAACAAGCAAGTTGCGTCCGGAGGTCTAAATCTTTTGGGGTCTTTTGTAGGTCGGCACCGGACCGTGGAGGTCAACCATCGCGACCTTGTCACGTGATTAATCACATGTTCCCCATCTTAGGGAGCTGGTAGTATTTGTACATCATCCAGCGGGACATGATATCTGCATACCATCTACAACAGGGTACAATAGCCAAATGTGTTTAGCCATTCCATCTACAACAGGGTACACTAGCCAAATGTGTTTAGCCATTCCATCTACTACAGGGTACACTAGCCAAATGTGTTTAGCCATTCCATCTACAACAGGGTACAATAGCCAAATGTGTTTAGCCATTCCATCTACAACAGGGTACACTAGCCAAATGTGTTTAGCCATTCCATCTACAACAGGGTACACTAGCCAAATGTGTTTAGCCATTCCATCTACAACAGGGTACAAAAGCCAAATGTGTTTAGCCATTCCATCTACAACAGGGTACACTAGCCAAATGTGTTTAGCCATTCCATCTACAACAGGGTACAATAGCCAAATGTGTTTAGCCATTCCATCTACAACAGGGTACAATAGCCAAATGTGTTTAGCCATTCCATCTACAACAGGGTACAATAGCCAAATGTGTTTAGCCATTCCATCTACAACAGGGTACAATAGCCAAATGTGTTTAGCCATTCCATCTACAACAGGGTACAATAGCCAAATGTGTTTAGCCATTCCATCTACAACAGGGTACAATAGCCAAATGTGTTTAGCCATTCCATCTACAACAGGGTACAATAGCCAAATGTGTTCAACGTTAGAGGGCTGGTACATGACAGAAGCAAATAGTGTTGGGAGAATTAAAGAAGTTTTCATTTATTCGGCGGATTAATGTAATGGTCTTCTCCCATCTAACTTATCATAGTTATGACATTCTATATCCTTAACATCATATTTATAACATCTCTACTTTTAACTTATACTAGTTATGACAAAACTATATCTTTAAGTTATCATGCTTATGACTCTACCTTTCACTTATCAGAGTTACAACACCCCTTGCTTCTAGCTCATGATAGTTGTACACCCTCTAACTTTAACTCATCAGAGTTATGACAACTTCGTTGGCATCCTAACTTTTTCTTTTCACTTTTTACAAATTGTATGTGCCACTGATTGATCAAACATACAAACAATCGTTCTTAATATTTTAAAGAATAATTTAATAAAACATGTTTTATAGAAATCATTCAAATAATTCTAAAATAATTTGATTTAGTAACCTCTATTTTTATTTCAAGAGTTAAAATTCTTCAGTGATTTTTTAATTTATTAAACCTGTCATGTAAAGTTGATTTTAAAAAATGTGAGATTTTTGAAAATTGTGAAACTTGTTCCACTCGGACGAGACATCTGTCTTGGAGAGTTTCATGTATTGTGAAGATGAGTGACGCCTCTTGTCCGTCGCTATGACGACGGCTTCTTAATTCGTACATTAAGATCCGGCGGTTTCCTGTTTCATCTGCTAGGTTTTCAGAGCTGCACACCAAAGTGACCAGTGGTCAGTTTGATGTAAAAAAAATTGAAGTGCCCTGTCCAAAGGTGTGTGACCTACAGGGGAAGTGCAGTGACCCTTAAGGTCGACCTGTGACCTTTCATTCCGAGGCCATGATTACTTTTTTTTCTCGTTTCCGTTTGGGGGAGAGGGGGGGTGAGGTGAAATTTTTTTTTCTCGTGCCAACAACTGGCTATTGCCTCAGCGGTCCACCCTCCGCGCGGTGGGTGTAGGGATGGACAATGGGGGTGGGGGTATGGACGGGGGGTGGGGGAGTATGAGCCGGGGAGGGCGAGAGTGCACGAACTATGGATGAGGTCGATGATTGTCTTAGTGGTCAAAGATCACCTTAAGACGTGAATGCGGCCTGCAGCCCGTGGACGCAAACTTCTGCGCCATTTGTTTACGGCCCAGGTGACGACCCCCAAGGTCAGACCCCTTGATCTGCCATCTTTTGGGTCTCACCTGCTCTTTACATGACCCACCCACCCCCATTACCCCCATTTCTTCTGGTGATTTTAAACTATCTGCCATGATTGTAGAACTTAACCCTTAGGTTAACGTACAGGTTAGCCCATAGGTTAGTGTACAGGTTATATGCTAAGTTTAATGATATCATAGTTAGCCAAGAGGTTAATGTACAGGTTAGATGATAAGTATAATGATATCACAGTTAGCCCATAGGTTAATGAACAGGTTATATGCTAAATTTAATATCATAGTTAACCCATAGGTTAATGTACAGGTTAGATGCTAAGTTTAATGATATCATAGTTAACCCATACGTTTATGTAAAGGTTAGATGCTAAGTTTAATCAAATCATAGCTAACCCATAGGTTACTGTAAAGATTAGATGCTAAGTTTAATGACATCACCGCTAACCCATAGGTTAATCTTAAGGTTATATGCTAAGTAAAATGACATCATAAACATAAAAATGACTATCAACCCGGGCATTTTAATATTACGCTTGAGTGGTTCTTGCTGTGGTAAAAATCAATAGAACATATTTTTGATGTCTGTAACTGACATAATTGAGTCATCTCCATGACATAAATTGTCATATACAAATACATGACACAACAGCCTCAGACAACATTGTCATTTGATTACAAGTGGTCAAGTTGACATACGTATGAAAACAAATACAACTAAATCAATCGCCGATGTTTAAAAAAAAAATCCAACAGCTGTCAATCGTTAAAAATGTTACTTCTGTTTTCCGCTTGAATAAACTGTAGCATGTGCTTGACCTACACATGCACCTCTGCTGACCGGAAGTGACCACTCCATCTGACTGGAGACCTGATGCGCATGCACATTTCCACCCCACTGTCACCCCCCACTCTGTTCACCACGTGACACTCAACAGTTCTGATCTTTTGTTGGCATTGTTCAAATTAAATTATTTATAGACCTTTTCAATTAAATGGACACCGTCGTGAAAGGCTGGAAATTAAAAAAAAAAGTTTTTAAAAATCCTATGAGATATTATTAATATAAAGGTTGTTATAAAAATGTGTTTGTTGTAAATTTATAATAAATGTTGTTATTGAAAAAAATGTGCTTGTTGTAAATGAATAATATTTAATGTTTTTTTTAGCATTTTTTACTATCTAAACAAAAAAATGTAAAAAGTAAAACAAAAACTTTTTTTTTTTTAAACTTTCTCATCGAAAATCTAAATAATCATGGCAAAACCAGTTAATGTGAAATTAAAACGTCTAATCTTAATAAATTATTTCCCGCAATTTTCAAGTATAAATAAATATGGAAATGGGTTTTGAAAAAAATCGATCACGAAGTTTCTGTACAGCCAATTAACTTTTGTCTTAAGAAATACAAATTTTGCCTTGATGAAACAAACTAAAAATGTAGCCTTTTTTTTTTCAAGTATTGTGCATTTGGAAAGTTTATATTGATTCTTAAAATATGAAAGTTCTGAATTTTTTCAGGCTTAAAGTTAAAGGAAAAAATATTTTTACTGTCTCTATGAAGGCAAACTTGACAAAAATACAAACCAAAAACTATTACTATCCATGTGTAGTATAATGATCGTAGGCATCTCATGAAGAGGGGCTGGAAGCTGGCATTATAGTGAAATAGCAATGTAGACAGATTATTATTTCAATGATAAAAGTAGGCATAAGCACCAATATACTCCCAGAAAAGACAGCGCCGCCTACGGCCAGACAGGATCCGAACCCACTATTCCACGAGGCACCTAATCGCCCCACCTATCGTGTATCAGGCTAAAGTGTTAACACTTGGCCCACCTGATCAAACTTGGTGAGGTTTGCTCTGGTCATCACTGGCATCAGGGAAAATAAGTTATACAACATGAATATACAAATATTATAAGGCTTTAATTAGCATTAACAATATATATAATTAAAGTAAAACGAATAAAAATATATTTTCATGTAAAATATTCCTAGTTATTAATCGGTTTACTAAAGGATTTTCTCGTTTTCGAAACATTAGTTGATAGCAGTGAACACACGTTTTCTATTGTTTAGTTGTAGAGTATTACAAAGTGAATACAAATTTTGACAAAACACCTCCATTTAATAATTAAATCACAAAAACAAAATACAAAATACAAATGTGGGTCAAAGCAATTTCAAAATAAATAATCTAACACCTTGGGGTACATTAAAATAAAATGCATTTTGCCTTTTTGTTTGTTAATTGATACATTATTTTAACGAAACTAATTTTCACTTATTTTAACCACAATTATTTTTATGTTATTTTAAGGAAATTAAATTTAACTAAATAGGCCTACAATTGAATTGTTTATTATTTTATTTGAAACTCAATTGTACGTAAGCACTTCTGACGGTGCATTATTTTCATTGAAACTAATTCTAACGAAATGTTTTTCAGTGATGTATGATTTTAATTGTACCTTATTTTAGCGGGATGAATTTTCACGAAATAACTTAATAATCTCAGCCACGGGTGACGTGTATGCCTGGGGGTCGGGCCCTGATGGACAGCTGGGTCTAGGTGTGGATCACGTGACCGTAGCCAAGCCAAGACGTATCAAAGACAATCGCTTACGTCACAGGGTTTCTTTCATTGGCTGCGGGGAATCTTATTCGGCGGCAATTACATGTAGGTATCACCTTTTGTGTACAGGAATTACCTTCTGTGTACAGGCACCGTGTAGGTATCACATTTTGTGTACAGGAATTACCTTCTGTGTACAGGCACAGTGTAGGTATCACCTTTTGTGTACAGGAATTATCTTCTGTGTACAGGCACAGTGTAGGTATCACCTTTTGTGTACAGGAATTATCTTCTGTGTACAGGCACAGTGTAGGTATCACCTTTTGTGTACAGGAATTACCTTCTGTGTACAGGCACCGTGTAGGTATCACCTTTTGTTTACATGTAATACCACCTTTATATATACCATGTAGGCTGTATCACCTTTTGTGTACAGGTATCACCTTCTATGTAGAGATATTACCCCCTGTATACATATTCTTTGTGTGTATCACCTCCTTGTACAGGCACTAACACATATCCAAATGTTGATAAACCAATATTCTCTATTGTAACAACCAGAGTTTCTTCCAGGCATCTCTTCGGGCGGCTCTGCCCCCCCCCCCCGGAGAAAAAAAGTATGGAAGAAACACTGGTAACAACAGTGTATCAACCAGGATTCGAAGCTGTACCAAACTTACCCATGTTATCCCAACGTCCCCTTTATTTGACCCCCTCCCCCCAACTTCTGCATCTCCGTGTACTGTAACGTCCAACCCCCCCAACTTCTGCATCTCCGTGTACTGTAACGTCCAACCCCCCCCCAACTTCTGCATCTCCGTGTACTGTAACGTCCAACCCCCCCAACTTGTGCATCTCCGTGTACTGTAATGTCCAACCCCCCCACAACCCCTACATCTCCGTGTACTGTAATGTCCAACCCCCCCCCCCCACAACCCCTACATCTCCGTGTACTGTAATGTCCAACCCCCCCCCCCACAACCCCTACATCTCCGTGTACTGTAATGTCCAACCCCCCCACAACCCCTACATCTCCGCGTACTGTAATGTCCAACCCCCCCACAACCCCTACATCTCCGTGTACTGTAATGTCCAACCCCACAACCCCTACATCTCCGTGTACTGTAATGTCCAACCCCACAACCCCTACATCTCCGTGTACTGTAATGTCCAACCCCACAACCCCTACATCTCCGTGTACTGTAATGTCCAACCCCACAACCCCTACATCTCCGTGTACTGTAATGTCCAACCCCCCCCCCCCCCCCCCAACTTGTGCATCTCTGTGTACTGTAATGTCCAACCCAACCTCCTCAACATTTTTGACTGCGACGGACTGTAACACAAATAACCCGGCATCAAAATTCCTGATCAACTATCTCAACGGTGCCAGAACCCACCCCTTCCCAACCCCCCCCCCCCAATCTTAAACAGTATTGTTTTCCCCCCGCCGCCTCCCTTTGAAGTTGAGGCAGAGCTCATTAAGAGGCACCCCCAGCTCACCACGACACGAGTGCCTTCCCCAACCTTTTGTAGCGGATCTTTAATCAGCGCAGCCCCCGTCCCCTCCTAGATCACACGAGCTCTGGTTTGATAACAGGACTTTGAACATGTCCTAACCCCTAAGTCAAACGTTTTTTTTTTCCTTGAACCCACCCCCAGTAAGACAAACGTCTTTTTTTCCTCCATCTTACTCGAAGTCCACCTCAAATTATTTACATATATTATGCTAGGACCCCACAAACATTATTTCATCCTTAATTTTTTGTTTTTCTTTTGAGTTTATCTTCAAAGTGATTTTATCACGTGTTCTTTCCCCCTGTTTCGCTTGATCTCCCCCCCTCCCTCCCCTTCCCGCTCGACTCACTGATCCACCCAGGTTTTAAATTTGAGACCAATTTTTTTTCTTGACTTTCTCCACTCACCCCTGCGTGTTAATGAAAGCGTGGTCCCGGCCCATAGTCTCACGCGCCCCGCCGTTCGGGCATAAGTAGACCGGCATTGTTACGCCGTGTGTCTATACAATCCTATTGAATAGATGCTTGCGACAATTAGCCGGCAAATTCCGGCTTTACTGGATGTCTGGGAGGGAGGCGTGGAAGCGAGCTATCCATTTGATGTTGGTAATTTTTATGTAACCCCCTACTTTCGCTTCATTTGTCTTCTATTAAGTCTGGGCAGACACGGAGTCTGTGCCATGTCTGGTCTGGGCTTGGCGTTCCTGGATAGTTTTTGTTCAGGGGAGAAGGTGGGTCTGTTACACGCGAATCTAGAGTCCAAAACGGCAAGTATCCCACGCTGTACTTTTTGTCAAGTTTCCCGGAGTACACACCTATGTCAAGTATCCCTCAGTTAACCGGTCTCGAACCTTGACTGTATTGAGTAAGGAGAGTAGCACTAGCAACTCGACCTCTAAGCGACAATGTTTTAGAAAGCTGGACTGCTTTACAGTTTTGATTTAATAGACCAATAAATTGTGCAATGTTAGCCACCCCCCCGGGGATGGAGTGGTGGTGGTGGGGGGGGGGGGGGGGGGGGCAAGGAAAGGCGAGCCTAAGGTTGTGTTGGCGTGCTTAGATAGCCTTATCCCACCCCCATCCAATAGTTTAGAAAAAATTGGTAGCCGTTTAGGTTGCTTTAAACTTTATTTTTTTTACATTTGACTTTAGTGATACAATCATGAAAATATTACGCAATGGTGTTAATTAACAACTCAATAACATCTTTTCAATATATATATATATATATATATATATATATATATATATATATATATATATATATATATATATATATATATATATATATATATATATATATATATATATATATATATATATATATATATATATATATATATATATATATATATATATATATATATACCCTAAATACTTCGAGCTTTAGCTCACCCCTCCTCCCTCAAAGAAAGATTAAACAACTTGAAACTAAAGCAGCCTTAGACTTAGAGTACCCCCCCATTCCCCCCCCCCCCCCCCCCCCATATTTTATCAGCTAACCTTTGATTTGCTCTCGACCAGGCGAGGGACGGCTACATCTGTGGGGCAGGAACAGCCACGTGATTTCCACCAGCCTTCCCCCGTCCCACAAGTTCTTCCAGCCAATGCCCGTGGGTGAGGAGTCCTCCTACAGGCAGGTCAGCTCCGTCTGTTGCGGCTCCTGGCACGCTGTGGCCTTGACCGGTCCCCCAGGTAAGCTCACCACATCGCCAGGTAATGGCTAGTTGATGACGTAGACTTTTTATAGTCCCGGTAGACGTAATAGTCCCGGTAGGGTAGAGATTTAATAATAGCACCACACGACTCGAGTTTATGTGATAGCCTAACAAAATATACCAAACTAGAGTAAAAGAATAAGGTGTGCCTATCTGAACAAAGAATGAGCATATTTAGTACTTGCTTAAAAGCTGAGCAAAACGGATGATATACAAGCCTGTAATAGCCCAGTAACACCCATAGTAACAGCCCTATCAATAAACAAAGCCCTTAGCATGGCAGTAACGCCCAACAATTTAACAAAGCATGTAACAGCCCCGTTAGTCCAACAATGTAACAAAGCATGTAACAGCCCAGTTTGCCCAACAATGTAACAAAGCATGTAACAGCCCAGTTAGTCCAACAATGTAACAAAGCCTGTAACAGCACAGTTAGTCCAACAATGTAACAAAGCTGTAACAGCCCAGTAACAAACGTATTTGTTACAGCACGTGCCCCATGTAACTCAGCAGACGACAGCTCAGACAGCGAGACATCGGAACCGGAACTGACGTTTGATACGTCACAGCCTGATGTAAGTACCTGCTGTTTGTGGTCCGTGGTCACTTTTTTTCTAATTGACCAGAGTCTGGTTACTTCTTGATAGACACATAGAGCTTTTGATCTAGCCCCATCACTCGCATAATCTACCACACTAACCACATCACATAGTCCAGCACAGTAACTACATCACATAATCCACAACAGTAACACCATCACATAATCCACCACACAAACTACATCACATAATCCACCACAGTAACACCATCACATAATCCACCACAGTAACACCATCACATAATCCACCACAGTAACACCATCACATAATCCACCACAGTAACACCATCACATAATCCACCACACAAACTACATCACATAATCCACCACAGTAACACCATCACATAATCCACCACACAAACTACATCACATAATCCACAACAGTAACACCATCACATAATCCACCACACAAACTACATCACATAATCCACCACAGTAACACCATCACATAATCCACCACAGTAACACCATCACATAATCCACCACACAAACTACATCACATAATCCACCACAGTAACACCATCACATAATCCACCACACAAACTACATCACATAATCCACCACAGTAACACCATCACATAATCCACCACACAAACTACATCACATAATCCACAACAGTAACACCATCACATAATCCACCACACAAACTACATCACATAATCCACCACAGTAACACCATCACATAATCCACCACACAAACTACATCACATAATCCACAACAGTAACACCATCACATAATCCACCACACAAACTACATCACATAATCCACCACAGTAACACCATCACATAATCCACCACACAAACTACATCACATAATCCACCACACAAACTACATCACATATTCCACCACACTAACCCCATCACCTAATCCACCAAACAAACTTCATCACATAATCCACCACACAAACCACATCACATAATCCACCACACAAACCTCATCACATAATCCACCGAACCACATCACATAACCCCACCAAACCTCTATCACATAATCCACCTCACAAACCCACTCACATAACTCCCCCACACTAACCCTCATACCAACGCCTTAATAGATCATTCCTTTTTAAAAATGTGGTCAATTTTACTTTATAAAAGTTGACAGTTTCGCGCGTGAGTGTATGTATGTTTGCGAGTAAGCAACTACGCTTTTAGTTTTTAAGGTAATCTTACCCAGCCATAATTTAGTTAACCGACTACTTTGTTGGAATCGATTCCGTATTTTTAAAGTTTAAAACCAACATGTAAAACCAGAGTGGCAGAAGTTGTTAATTTTGAAAATGTTTTTTATTGATTAACTCCCCTTGATTAATGCTAATGAGATGAAGAATGGGGCAGGTTAGTGTGAAGAGTGCAGTAAAACAGGCCCCCGCGCGGGCACTCTGGGGTCGGGCTTGCCACTCCTAAGCCCCCTCGAGACACCCGGGCCGTAACTCCGTGGACGGGACCACATGCCCATCTGCCCCTCCCGAGAATGCCGTTCTGAAAACGATACCCCGAGACGACCTAAAAAATTCGTTGATTGGCTCAGTGGCGTAATCCAGGGGGGTGCAGGGGGGCGGCGGATAAAAGACCGGGGGTAATGAAACGAGATACTCCGACAAAATTGTGAAGCCATTCAAAAATATAAGACAACAAAACCACGGAACAAATGCCCGGGTTCTCAACGAGACGCTTGACCGAACCTCCCCTTCCCTTTATTAAAATCCTCCCCCCCCCCCAACCCGCGTCGGTTGCTCCTGTTAACTAAAATCAATAAACACGGTTTTTATACCACAGCGGTTAGCACGTCTTCCGATGGCAAATCTAATTGATAAAAATCATCTAACTTTATGAAATTCGGATATTGACCAGAAATGTAATTTAAAAATATCAAGAACACAGACCCCTCCCCCCTCCTCTACCCCCGCACAATTTTTTTAAATCGATTTTTTTGAAAAGCAGAATGGCCAGATGACGGGCGGGGTTTCTATTGAAGTAGAGTTACAAGAGTTACTGCACTTGTTTATAGAGTTGGGTGAAATATGAAGTTGTGTTGGGATGGTGGTGGGGGGGGGGGGGGGACGGTGACATTGGGGAGGGAGCGGCTCCGGGGAGAGAGAAGGATGTAGCACAAATGGAATCGAGGTCTGGGTAGAACGGAAACAAATACATTGATAATAACATGATACTAGTATGTTGTTTTTAAAAAGCCGCCTATACTAGCACTACAGTCTTTTTAACAGGAAAATTTATTTCGTTGTATTGTATTTACTTGTTAATAAATATAGTTATACGAACTCTATATTATAGAAATGACAAAATTATTAGTAAATTAACAGTGAACATCTAAAACGAACATATTTCCTGAAAAATTCAATTGTGTGTGAACCTTATGGCTCCTACTAGATCTAATTATTTTCTGTGTAAATTGTATTTTATTAAATACTATGCATTGTGTCAGAGTGTATTTCCATAAACAATTTTATTCTAAACTAATGTTTTACTTCACATGTCTAATGTTTTGTTGTTATGCCAGGAAGTTGGTGGTAGTTTAGGCCATTGGGAAATATATGAGAAGTAAAATATTTGCCCGAAAATGTGAGTAAAGTAATGAAGGCGTTTAACACACAAATGCGCAAAGTTGCAGTAGTCATTCACTAGTTTGTACTGAAACACACAGGCATCCAGCCCCACAGCAATTTATACAGTCACCCTTCCAGTCATACAGTGACCCTCCCAGTCATACAGTCACCCACCCAGTCATACAGTCACCCTCCCAGTTATACAGTCACCCTCCCAGTCATACAGTCAACCTCCCAGTCATACAGTCATACAGTCACCCTCCCAGTCATACAGTCACCCTCCCAGTCATACAGTCACCCTCCCAGTCATACAGTCACCCTCCCAGTTATACAGTCATACAGTCACCCTCCCAGTCATACAGTCACCCTCCCAGTCATACAGTCACCCTCCCAGTCATACAGTTACCCTCCTAGTCATACAGTCACCCTCCCAGTCATACAGTCACCCTCCCAGTCATCCCAGTCATACAGTCATACAGTCACCCTCCCAGTCATACAGTCACCCTCCCAGTCATACAGTCACCCAGCCAGTCATACAGTCACCCTCCCAGTCATACAGTCACCCTCCCAGTCACACAGTCACCCTCCCAGTCATACAGTCATACAGTCACCCAGTCATCTCGCTCCATTAGTCCTAACCTTCATAGACTTGATCTGATAATAAGAGCTCTCCAATTAAGCTTTTTGTGGTTCCCAAGACATTATTAGATTCTGTAAATTAATTTTTTCCCTTCTCCCCTCGCCAAAGTTGCGGCGAATTTGGCGCTTTATGTCCGGCCTTTGATGTGACTTTTCGCCTTTTGGTCGTGGCATCTGGCCGACTTGTTTAACTAATTGGGTCATGGGACTATTGTTCGGGGAAAACAATTCATTTAGTTGCTGAGACCGTGTTGTGGGCAGGGGAGGGGAGGGGTGGGGGGAGGGGGTGGCTGGTGGATTACTTCTGGTTGATGTGGGCAGGGGGAGGAGTTGTCCTGTGGATTACTTTTGATCAGTGTGGGTAGCCACAAGATATTGATCTATGTGTGTGGCTACTGAATATTTGACCGATCTTTGAAGGAATTCGGATAGCCACAACTAATTGACCTATTTGGATAGACTAATGTGGATAGCCAAAGAAAATAAATTCGACTGCTGTGGGCAGCAGAGCTTCTTTCATGCATCCCCACCCCACAAAGCCCAAGCGTCGACCCCCGGCCCTTCCAACGAACTAAAACAAAAAGTTCTATTATAATAGAAAAATTTACTCTAACTATGTCCGCTCCCCTCCTCACCGCTGTACATTTAAGTCCTATACCCCGTAAGTTTCAAATCCCCCCCCCCAGAGGCGTAGCAACCCTTCCCGGCGCCCGGGGACACACTTACAATTTGCACCCCCCTCAAACTTTCGATTTGCACCCCCCCCCCGTCAAACTTTCAATTTGTTTCTCCAACCTATTTTGGCGTCCCCTAAAGTCGGCGCCCGGGAACGTATGTCCGCCCCCCCCCCCCTCGCTACGCCTCTGCTCCCCCACCCCGAGAAGAAACACTGGTATGTAGGAGCTAGAGTTGATTCTAACTCCGAGTCTACACAATCCAAGTCATCAAGATGTGAGCTATGTGTATAGTAGAGATTTGGGATAGAATAAGTCTGTTTTTGTCTACTTAACTAGTCCTAACTTATACATTTTACAGAACCTCATTTAATGTTAGCGACTGTCTTGTTTTCTTAGTTTAGGATACATTAGGCTTGGTTTTTATTCCTATATTGTACGGGTAAGGGTTAGTGGGTTTGGTTTAGGATGTTTATAAGCTTTAATCCAAAGAGTGAGTTTAGGCTAGTGATGTCTTCTCTCCACAGAACAATCCCAGAGCGGCCCCAGTAGCCTGTGGTCTACAGGAGCGGGGACGAACCCGTCTAACACTGGAAGAGTTCTACTCGTTAGCAGAGGCCGCTGATGAAGGTACGGTAAACATAAATAAACAAAATAAACCTATAAATACTTGATGTACTTGCGCGCAGATTTCCAAACGTTTGGACTTTGTGATAACCGTTTAGGTTAGGGAGGATTTATGTACGCATGCGCAGTATATAAAACATTGCCACTGCGCATGCGTAGTTTGTTCCGGTTAAAATCGGCCATTTCTCTTTATTATTCCTGCTTGATATATTTAATACGAGCCGACCCGCGGCATATCATACGCCGCTATTTAGTTGTTTTATTTTCTACTTTTCAGTCATTCATAATTTTTGAATTCGACAGTACCAATGCTGCCACTGAAAATATTTGCTTTAAAACACTATCAGTAGGTTGTTAAGGACGATACTACCCCCACCCTACCCTAAACCCCCTCCCCCACCCTCCCCGTGAAAGCAGCCTCCTCTTAGTTACCTCCCCTAAGTTTAAAATCGTTTTAAACTAAATTATCTGCCCTAACAGCCGTCACTAAACCCGGCTATACGATTGTAAACATTTAAAGTGAACCACAGCTCACCAGACCATGTAGGGGTGGGGGTAGTAAGGAGCGCACTTACAGCTTGGTGTTTTCTAGCGTTTCCAAGAAGATAATTATATATATAGATTTTGATTCTTAAGGTGTGTCAGATTCCTATGGTGTGTCAGATTCTTATGGTGTGTCAGATTCTTATAGTGTGTCAGATTCTTATAGTGTGTCAGATTCTTATAGTGTGTCAGATTCTTATGGTGTGTCCGATTCTTATGGTGTGTCCGATTCTTATGGTGTTTCAGATGATTGTATGACGCACGAAGAAGATCAACGAGATGTGACGTCTGCCATGACGTCAGACAGTTGTATGGACACTCCCCCCTCTGATAATGGGTCACTACCAGAGCCCAACACAAACATTCCTGACGAAGAACCTAACCCTACCATCTCGCCCAGAGAGGCTGAGGCTGAAACACCTTTAGTTTCAAATAGTAAAACTTCAGCAAATGAAGAATCAACAAACCAACCAATCAAACGAGCCGAATCTGGTCACGTGGCAAACAGAGCAACCAAACAAAAAGAACTGACCAGAACTCAGGCTTTAAGAAACCAACTTTTGAAGACGAGAGTGAACGGGATCGGAACCCGGGCCAACACCATGTTCATCAGCACGTCGACGTCAGAGCGGTTCCTTCTCCCCCGGCAGACGACAACACTAAACAGACCCCACGTGACTCTGGTCGCCTTTGACCAGGTGTCCGTTGGCGTCACATCCCAAGACTCGAAAGATTCTGGCACCACCAGTAGTGGTCATTCAAGTCCGCTGCCCAGTGGTCAGATCTCTAGCGTCAGACCGGAAGTCGTTGTCTCGTGCTCTCCGGCCTCGACTCACTGGAGTCATGACGCGCGTCAGAAGAACTTTTCGAGGGAGACATCCAGCGACAAGTCTAATCGAGAGGCTGCTACCACAGTAGAAGTATCAGAGGTAAGCTTGTTAGTTTAGTCAATTTTATCAAGGGTAAACTTGTTAGTTTAGTCAATTTTATCAAGGGTAAACTTGTTAGTTTAGTCAATTTTATCAAGGGTAAACTTGTTAGTTTAGTCAATTTTATCAAGGGTAAACTTGTTAGTTTAGTCAATTTTATCAAGGGTAAACTTGTTAGTTTAGTCAATTTTATCAAGGGTAAACTTGTTAGTTTAGTCAATTTTATCAAGGGTAAACTTGTTAGTTTAGTCAATTTTATCAAGGGTAAACTTGTTAGTTTAGTCAATTTTATCAAGGGTAAACTTGTTAGTTTAGTCAATTTTATCAAGGGTAAACTTGTTAGTTTAGTCAATTTTATCAAGGGTAAACTTGTTAGTTTAGTCAATTTTATCAAGGGTAAACTTGTTAGTTTAGTCAATTTTATCAAGGGTAAACTTGTTAGTTTAGTCAATTTTATCAAGGGTAAACTTGTTAGTTTAGTCAATTTTATCAAGGGTAAACTTGTTAGTTTAGTCAATTTTATCAAGGGTAAACTTGTTAGTTTAGTCAATTTTATCAAGGGTAAACTTGTTAGTTTAGTCAATTTTATCAAGGGTAAACTTGTTAGTTTAGTCAATTTTATCAAGGGTAAACTTGTTAGTTTAGTCAATTTTATCAAGGGTAAACTTGTTAGTTTAGTCAATTTTATCAAGGGTAAACTTGTTAGTTTAGTCAATTTTATCAAGGGTAAACTTGTTAGTTTAGTCAATTTTATCAAGGGTAAACTTGTTAGTTTAGTCAATTTTATCAAGGGTAAACTTGTTAGTTTAGTCAATTTTATCAAGGGTAAACTTGTTAGTTTAGTCAATTTTATCAAGGGTAAACTTGTTAGTTTAGTCAATTTTATCAAGGGTAAACTTGTTAGTTTAGTCAATTTTATCAAGGGTAAACTTGTTAGTTTAGTCAATTTTATCAAGGGTAAACTTGTTAGTTTAGTCAATTTTATCAAGGGTAAACTTGTTAGTTTAGTCAATTTTATCAAGGGTAAACTTGTTAGTTTAGTCAATTTTATCAAGGGTAAACTTGTTAGTTTAGTCAATTTTATCAAGGGTAAACTTGTTAGTTTAGTCAATTTTATCAAGGGTAAACTTGTTAGTTTAGTCAATTTTATCAAGGGTAAACTTGTTAGTTTAGTCAATTTTATCAAGGGTAAACTTGTTAGTTTAGTCAATTTTATCAAGGGTAAACTTGTTAGTTTAGTCAATTTTATCAAGGGTAAACTTGTTAGTTTAGTCAATTTTATCAAGGGTAAACTTGTTAGTTTAGTCAATTTTATCAAGGGTAAACTTGTTAGTTTAGTCAATTTTATCAAGGGTAAACTTGTTAGTTTAGTCAATTTTATCAAGGGTAAACTTGTTAGTTTAGTCAATTTTATCAAGGGTAAACTTGTTAGTTTAGTCAATTTTATCAAGGGTAAACTTGTTAGTTTAGTCAATTTTATCAAGGGTAAACTTGTTAGTTTAGTCAATTTTATCAAGGGTAAACTTGTTAGTTTAGTCAATTTTATCAAGGGTAAACTTGTTAGTTTAGTCAATTTTATCAAGGGTAAACTTGTTAGTTTAGTCAATTTTATCAAGGGTAAACTTGTTAGTTTAGTCAATTTTATCAAGGGTAAACTTGTTAGTTTAGTCAATTTTATCAAGGGTAAACTTGTTAGTTTAGTCAATTTTATCAAGGGTAAACTTGTTAGTTTAGTCAATTTTATCAAGGGTAAACTTGTTAGTTTAGTCAATTTTATCAAGGGTAAACTTGTTAGTTTAGTCAATTTTATCAAGGGTAAACTTGTTAGTTTAGTCAATTTTATCAAGGGTAAACTTGTTAGTTTAGTCAATTTTATCAAGGGTAAACTTGTTAGTTTAGTCAATTTTATCAAGGGTAAACTTGTTAGTTTAGTCAATTTTATCAAGGGTAAACTTGTTAGTTTAGTCAATTTTATCAAGGGTAAACTTGTTAGTTTAGTCAATTTTATCAAGGGTAAACTTGTTAGTTTAGTCAATTTTATCAAGGGTAAACTTGTTAGTTTAGTCAATTTTATCAAGGGTAAACTTGTTAGTTTAGTCAATTTTATCAAGGGTAAACTTGTTAGTTTAGTCAATTTTATCAAGGGTAAACTTGTTAGTTTAGTCAATTTTATCAAGGGTAAACTTGTTAGTTTAGTCAATTTTATCAAGGGTAAACTTGTTAGTTTAGTCAATTTTATCAAGGGTAAACTTGTTAGTTTAGTCAATTTTATCAAGGGTAAACTTGTTAGTTTAGTCAATTTTATCAAGGGTAAACTTGTTAGTTTAGTCAATTTTATCAAGGGTAAACTTGTTAGTTTAGTCAATTTTATCAAGGGTAAACTTGTTAGTTTAGTCAATTTTATCAAGGGTAAACTTGTTAGTTTAGTCAATTTTATCAAGGGTAAACTTGTTAGTTTAGTCAATTTTATCAAGGGTAAACTTGTTAGTTTAGTCAATTTTATCAAGGGTAAACTTGTTAGTTTAGTCAATTTTATCAAGGGTAAACTTGTTAGTTTAGTCAATTTTATCAAGGGTAAACTTGTTAGTTTAGTCAATTTTATCAAGGGTAAACTTGTTAGTTTAGTCAATTTTATCAAGGGTAAACTTGTTAGTTTAGTCAATTTTATCAAGGGTAAACTTGTTAGTTTAGTCAATTTTATCAAGGGTAAACTTGTTAGTTTAGTCAATTTTATCAAGGGTAAACTTGTTAGTTTAGTCAATTTTATCAAGGGTAAACTTGTTAGTTTAGTCAATTTTATCAAGGGTAAACTTGTTAGTTTAGTCAATTTTATCAAGGGTAAACTTGTTAGTTTAGTCAATTTTATCAAGGGTAAACTTGTTAGTTTAGTCAATTTTATCAAGGGTAAACTTGTTAGTTTAGTCAATTTTATCAAGGGTAAACTTGTTAGTTTAGTCAATTTTATCAAGGGTAAACTTGTTAGTTTAGTCAATTTTATCAAGGGTAAACTTGTTAGTTTAGTCAATTTTATCAAGGGTAAACTTGTTAGTTTAGTCAATTTTATCAAGGGTAAACTTGTTAGTTTAGTCAATTTTATCAAGGGTAAACTTGTTAGTTTAGTCAATTTTATCAAGGGTAAACTTGTTAGTTTAGTCAATTTTAACTGAGGTAAACTTGCTAGTTTAGAAAATTGTAACTAAGTTAAAGTTGTTAGTTTAATCAATTATAACTGAGGTAAGCTTCTTACTTTAGTCAAATAACTGAGGTAAACTTGTTAGTTTAGTCAGCGTCAACTGTGTTAGATATGATGTTGGCAGATACATGTGTGATGTGGGCAGATACATGTTTGATGTGGGCAGATACATGTGTGATGTGGGTAGATACAAGTGTGATGTGGGCAGATACAAGTGTGATGTTGGCAGATATCTGTGATGTAGGCAGATACATATGTAATGTGGGCAGATACACGTAATGTGGTCAGATACATGTGTAATGTGGGACATACATGTGAATTGTGGGCATATACAAGTGTGATCGGGGCAGAAACGTGTGTTATGTGGGCAGATACATGTGTGATGTGGGCAGATACATGTGTGATGTGGGCAGATACATGTGTGATGTGGGCAGATACATGTGTGATGTGGGCAGATACATGTGTGATGTGGACAGAAACTGTGTGTGATGTGGGCAGATAATTTTTAAAAAATAACATAAGCAGTTGTCTTCTATGTAACGTTTGTGTGTCGAGTTGATGTCACCTAGATTATGGACATGTAATCTGGATTTCGGACAAACACACCTGGCCTATACACATATCCTCATTCTCAACATCAGTTTTGGATCAGCCGCGGAGATTGGCCCAACAGCCTCCGTCATCAGCTATGGACTGTATCCAATACACCCACCTCATCTGGTTATTTATTTGTTTACATCCCCCCCCCACCCTCTGCAGCAAATGGTTCCATCTGCACCTCAGTCCACTTCCGCCTCCTGGGTGGTCCGGGTTGAACTCACTTTCCCTGACCCCTGACCTTTGCAGCGTATCGCGGTTAGCTAAGATTCATAAACACGGGCTGCCTACATTTTGCGGGCCGACCAAAACACGACGATGAGCGGCACAAAGGTGCGCTTGTTGCAGGCAGGCCTTGGACGATGATGGCGGGGATTGGTAAACAGTTATGATGGCAACATAAATGTTGTAGATAGGGACAGCTGGGGGACGGGGGGGGGGGGGGGTTGTATGATGGCAACATAAATGTTGTAGATAGGGACGGGGACGGGGGTAGTATGGTAATATAAATGTTGTAGGTTTAGGGTGGGGGTGTTGTAAGATAGCAACATAAATGTTGTAGATAGGAATAGTTGGTTGAGGGGGAAGGGGGTGGAGTGACGCACCTAACGGGGAGGGGACGGAGTCAGATATCATTCTAGCAGCGTCACCTAATTTGTTTATTTTTTAAAAACAGGTCCGATAACTCCGGTAACAATCGCGGCATTTATATTGTTCATACAGAGTTATTTTCATCGACTTGCATACTTTCAGTAACAGTTTATGTTTATATAACGCTGGAGACGGAAGGTCTGAGTAAATAAGGTTCACTTTATTAATTTCTTTTTTTTCTTAATTAGACGCCAAATATAGCTACCTTATTTATAATGGTGCTACTTTTTTATAAATATGCCAAATATAGCTACCTTATTTATAATGTTGCAACTTTTTAAAAGTAAAGATGCTAAATATAGCTCGCTTATTTTTAATGTTTGCTACTTTTTAAAAATATAGAAGCCAAATTTAGCTAGATTATTTATAAATTTCGCTACTATTTTTTGGACACCAAATATAACTATTAATATCACATATTGCTATATACATGTACTAATAAATATTTGGCCGATTCTAGTCGGAATAAGATACGCATGCGATACGCATGCGCAATGGAGAGAAACTACGACTTAGCGGCGATGTTTTCGATGGTACTGCGCATGCGTGTGTTTACAACCGCAGAACCCTAATACCAACCCTAATCCTATCCTTAACCCTATCCCTAATCCTATCCCTAACCCTATCCCTAATCCTACCCCTAACCCTCATTCTAGCCCTAACCCTAGCCATAGGTCACTGCGCATGCGCAGAAATATCTTTTGCCGAAAAATCTTATTCCGAGTAGACACTTCGTAAATATTTTGTGCCAAATATTCTTACCTTGTGATCCCAAACATGCTTTTTTCTTTAATTAAAAATAAAATATTTCCAACATATATAATTGTCGACGGTGCTATGCAGTAGACATGCGATGTAATATCTGTAATTTCCTTATTAGATAAGTGAGATGTAAGATGTATGGTGCGGATGAGCAATTGTGCTTTTTGGGACAACCACCCACCTACATCTGCACGCCTTTGAAACTTTCAGGGGGGGGGGGGGGTGAACGGAGAAGGGGCCCTTAGATTGTTTAAATTTTCGCCGAGGAGGGGATGGCCAACTTGCTTGGTAAAAATATTTTTTTCTATGTTTATTAAAAAATTTTAAAACTATTTCGTCAGGGGTAGGGATAGCTGAAAGAAACCCTGTCCACGAGTTGCGCCTTTGATACGTTTCATCAGTACAGCTAGATACAGCTCTATGTAGAACTATGACAGCCAATCGTGCCGTGATGTCAGTTGTGATGGTAGTTGTGATGGTAGTTATGATGGTAATTCTAATGGTAGTTGTGATGGTAATTGTGATGGTATTTGTGATGGCAGATGGTAGTTCTGATGGTAGCTATGATGGTAGTTCTGATGGTAGTATTATGGCAGTTGTGATGTCTGATGTCAGTTGATGTAAACTGATGCCTGCGGTTTGATGCAGGCCCACCTGCAGTGGCGTGAAGCTGATAACGCGTGATCTCCACGTGATCTCCACGTGATCTCCACATCAAACGGGATCTCGCCTCCCATCAAAGCCACGTGTTGACAATTGATAGCCACGCTGGACACGGGGTTGCGTCCCCTGTCCACTTGCGGAAAACCGCGAAAAGATTGGCCGAGGCCCATTACTGCGGTCTCTAATAGGTTTACCCATCTTAATCTGACGGATCCGTTTTACGCTTTTCCGTTTGAAGGGCCCAGTTGCGGTGTGGGACTGACGAATCTGCTGTAAGATTACACCCCCTTGCTGACCCCCTAGCGTGCAGACGTCAAAATATTTTCTTGTTGTCGGACCGAACTTGCTGAGTTTGTGCTTATTTCGTCCACAGTATTTCGTCAAAGATCATCCGATCTCTAACGCCTCGCTTTGCCTATGTCGTCTGCTTGTTTCCAATGAAAGGCCTCCTCCCGTCATTACCTGTCAACCTAGACGACGGCCACTTCTTTGACTGGTGGCGCTGCCTCACGCAAGTGCTGAGCTTAAGAAGAGCTAAGCATGCGCAGTGCGGCCGTGGTTCCTGGGGCTTAGTTGTAACTGTCTACAAATGGCAAAGGGCGTCCCGTCACCGTACTCACCCAGGCATACAAACGCCTGCACGTGCACACGATTAGCGCATTCATCTGTACAAAGCCGGCATGTCCCGAGACCAAATTCTACTTTACCTGCCCCCTTGACTTTAGATGACCGGTGGGCCGGAAAATTCCGGCTGTGTGTAACTCATAGGATCACAGGTCTGTCGTGCTGCTAACGGCGCGGAGTTATCCCCACCTGATTGGGGTATTATGTTACATCATAACAATTGTCTGCCCCTGTTTCCTGCTTAACTTGTCGAGTTATGTCCCCATGAGCTGAAGCATGTTGATTTTTTAAAAATCCAGCCCACAACAGCAATCTCGCCACACAAAAGCATGCATTTATCCCCCACATACACACGACCGGTCTCACCACACAATAACATGCACATATTACCCCCATCCCCACTCAAACCCAACTCCCCCCCCCCCACTCAAACCCCACAATATTATGCACAATCTGATTTGTGTAGAGCCCAAACCATTTCTAAGCACGCTATCGTCTGCAACAAATGCCGGTTCTGTAGGTTGAGTTAGGTTGGTGAGGGTGTTGGTTTGTGAGGGTGTTGGGTTTGTGAGGGTGTTAGGTTAGTGAGGGTGTTATTTTTGTGGGGGCTTTAAGTTTGTGAGGGCGTTAAGTTTGTGGGGGCTTTAAGTTTGTGGGGGGCTTTAAGTTTGTGAGTGCGTTAGTTTTGTGAGGGCGTTATTTTTGTGAGGGCTTTAAGTTTGTGAGTGCGTTAGTTTTGTGAGGGCGTTATTTTTGTGGGGGCTTTAAGTTTGTGAGTGCGTTAGTTTTGTGAGGGCGTTATTTTTGTGGGGGCTTTAAGTTTGTGAGTGCGTTAGTTTTGTGAGGGCGTTATTTTTGTGGGGGCTTTAAGTTTGTGAGGGCGTTAGGTTTGTGGGGGCTTTAAGTTTGTGAGGGCGTTAGTTTTGTGAGGGCTTTAAGTTTGTGAGTGGGTTTGTGAAGGCGTCGCGTTTTTGAGGGCATTAATTTTGTGCCACTTCATGTTAAGCCAAACCATTTGAACCCTAAATTTCTGGATTTTTTATTACATATGGGCTGACTATGAACACTGTACACACGCTTCAAACACCCTGTCGTTTCAACCATCATTATTCACATCCTCATCGACATTCTCTAGCCAGTGGCACCAATAGCACGTGAGAGAGGAACAAACCCTGGACCAGGAAGTGCTGATAGTCTGCAGCGTGTCAGGGTGACCTCTGTCCATCAGTCCAAGTTACGCCAGGTGTCAGCTAGCAGGTCACGTGGTCTCGATGCCATCACCTGTTCAGGTAAAAAAAATATAAATCACCTTTAGCACTATTTTTATCATTTCTTTCCAATCTTTAAAATAAGCCTTCGAGGATGTAAAATCCGAAGTAAAATAAAAAAAAAGTATGCCATAAAAGTTACTTATGGAACGGCGTGGTCGAACGGTAGAGTACATGGCTGCTAACCCTAAAGTCTCGTAGTCGGACCCCTGACTCTAGTCAGCAGCACGTCGGTGAATCCACCCAGCTCTAGTGGATATCTCACTCACATTTAAGAGATAGGCGGCTGGGGATAGAGCCTACCACAATATAGCTTTACATGTCGAGGTCACTGAAACAGATGAACTCTACTTCCTTTGTTTTACATGCTGGAAGCGTAGAAGGAAGAAATTTACTCATGTAATTAATTAATATTTTTTACAAAATGTTAATTGGAATAAATATACTTTTAATAATAATTCTCAACAAAAAAATATGTAGACCTATCATTAACTAAATAAAAACTGTTTTTTTTTGTTTGTTAGGTAATATTACGCAATTTATTTTGCAGCATAAATTTTAAAGCATTAGTTTGATGACCATTGAATTTTGTGTACGATTTTCAGGCCAACGTTCAGAGTCAGTTCAGGCAGAAGGAAGAAGGCGTGGTCCATCTCAGCCAGACTTTTCGCTGGGCGACCTTCTGGTGACGTCACAGCCCCGTCTCCATGGCGACGACAGGGCGCGCAGTTCAACCAGTAGGAGGGTTGTGTACTCGAGCGGCTCGTCCTGGAGGAGCAGGAACAAAACCTGATGAGACGATGACATTTTGTTAAATACATGCATGCCTGTATTGATGAGAGAATGACATTTTGTTAAATACATGCATGCCTGTATTGATGAGAGAATGACATTTTGTTAAACTCATGCATATCTGTATTGATGAGAGAATGACATTTTGTTAAACTCATGCATATCTGTATTGATGAGAGAATGACATTTTGTTAAACTCATGCATATCTGTATTGATGAGAGAATGACATTTTGTTAAACTCATGCATATCTGTATTGATGAGAGAATGACATTTTGTTAAACTCATGCATATCTGTATTGATGAGAGAATGACATTCTGTTAAAACACATGCATATCTGTATTGATGAGAGAATGACATTTTGTTAAACTCATGCATATCTGTATTGATGAGAGAATGACATTCTGTTAAAACACATGCATGTCTGTATTGATGAGAGAATGACATTTTGTTAAATACATGCATGTCTGTATTGATGAGAGATTGACATTCTGTTAAACGCATGCGTCTACATTGATGAGAGAATGATATTTTGTTAAACAGACGCATGTCTGTCACATGCATGTCTATATTGAATAGACTTGATCTTGTTTGCCCGAAAAACTGTGATCAGATATCTTTTAGCCAGACTGACACGATGGGTTACAGAGGAATCTCTTTCCCGAACCAAAACTTCGCTTCATTAGACTGTTTAAGTCACAGTTACTGGTCGATAAAGCTGATATATGCTACAATAATAACAGTGAGCCTTTTGTTCACATTGGCTGTTTGTAATACATTAAAAATATATCTTGACCAAACATTAACAATGAAATAACATTTAAACAACATAAGAAGGAATTTTATATTTACAAAATATAGATATATCGTGAAATAGAATGAGTGGAGTGAGCAGTGGCGTAGCCAGGATCGTCTCAAAGGGGGGGGGGGGGGTTTCCAATTTTTACTTTTTACCCGGGGACAAACTTTCGATTTGCACCCCCCCCCCCCCTCAAACTTTCGGTTTGCACCCCCCCCTCAAACTTTCGATTTGCACTCCCCTTATATTTTTTATATATACCGAGGGGTCTATGGGGGGGGGGGGGGGTTATGACCCCCCTAACCCCCCTGCCTACGCCACTGGGAGTGAGTAGGTTCTTTGATTTAGTGTTAAATCAGTTATGGGGTGATAAATAATTATTTGTTTTTAGGCCTATATAGGCCAATTTTCTGTTATATATTGTTTTTATTAGATTAAGAAGATATTTTCTAAAATGTGGTGACTGAATAGGCGAAGCTGTCTTTGAAAATTAAAAAAAAATTCTGAACGAGTTAATTAAGACGAAGATTTAGTTTTATGTTAAAAGACTAAAAGTGAGTTAAAAGTGTCTGAATGATCAAATATTTTATAAATCAAAGCTTCTTTAGTAATTTTTCATGTATAGGAAGGATTTAGTTTCAATGAAATAATCTAGATAAGTCAACTAATAATTTTATGGCTTATTTTAGTACTGAGAAGAGCAGGCGCTAATTAGTTGTTTCATTAATTAGTTTTACACTTTTGACTATTTCATGGGTTGGACTTGAATGGAGCAGGTATTTTAGATTCCCGACATTGTATTTGTAATTATGAACTTATGTCTGCTGATAATGGCGAAATGATTATTTTGAAATCATCAGACTCAACTATGCAAACTGTATTTTGAAACTAACATACTGTTATTATAAATACGGAAATTTCAGTAAAATTCAGCAGCACATTTTTGGTACCATATTTCTAGATCAACAGTTAAAAAGGTCGATAAATATTTGTCAGATTCTTAATTAACGATCACTCTTTAAATAATTTCATTAGACTATGAGACAAGAAAATGACTGGAGATTAACATAATGACTTGAGACAATGCAAAATAACTTAAGACAAAACTAAATGATTTAAAGGAAAGTAGATATAACGAAAACACGGTTGATGATTACATGTGTGTGCAAGTAGTGATAAAATAATTACAAATAAATAGACAGCCCCTTTAGACATTTGAAGCCTGTTAATTTGTACGACTCAAGTCCCCTTAATTATGCCCCATAGTATGACTTGTGACACATCAGTAAGGATGTGTGACTTTTGATACATAAATAAGGATGTGTGATTTTTGATACATCAATAAGGAGGTGTTACTTTAGATACATCAATAAGGATGTGTGACTTTTAATACATCAATAAGGATGTATGACTTTAAACATCAAACATGTTGCATCAAAGAAGACACTGTATCATGTCATGTTTAAAGCTTATGAATGTTGATTTTTGAACACTATTTATTCAAAATAATAACGTTTGTTTTTAAACGTATATATATAGTAACAATGTTGTGTATACTAACACATATCAATAACATTCCAATTTTATGAAATAAAAAATGTAATTAATTTTAACTTTCGAATTGTATTGCTAAATCAAAGATTGGGGGAAAAAAATCTTAAATGCGCATCAAAAATGCAGCTATGCGTTGTGAAAATTAATTAAAGTAATTAATGAAAAAGTCGTAGGTAACCAAGCGTCACGGTGGGTGAACGTCGTCTGCTGGTGGATGCTGCACGCTTCAGTGATTCCACACAAAACACGCTTAGCTTTTTACGGTAGGTCTTTGTGTGACGTCACGGGGAAGTTCTCAGTTCCGCTACCAGATGACGTGATTCCCATGTGTGGGGGGCTGCTGTATGGGGTGGGGGTGGGGGGTGTATGAGGGTGGTATAGGCCTATGAGTTGAGTTAGTAAATGTGGGGGGGGGGGGGGAGTATGAGATGGCGTTGTGTATTATGAAAAGGGTGGGTGGAATTCAATGGAATGGCTTATTTCAGTGTACTCAGTGACCTAGTTGTACCTAGATGACAGATGTCAACTGACATGAATGACTCGGCTAAAGTAGGTTTGTTGTAACTGTACAAGTGGCCTAGCATCTGGCAATGGTCTAGAACAGGGGTCGGCAACCTGCGGCTCGCGAGCCGCATGCGGCTCTTTTGGTGTCACGATGCGGCTCTCCAACCCCTTGCACAAATATTAATAATTATATTATTTAATTTTCAAAAATCATAACAAAAATTATACTGTAAGGATACACACGTTTAAACAGGATAAAAACACTCAGCCATGTGACAACAATTGCATGCTTGCCACTGCCCAAGTGCCGACTTTTTCGAATATCGTTAATTGGGGAATGTTAATTTAGAATGCACTTCCCTATCCGTCAGTAATCATTAATTTGACGCGAGTGACGTAGTTATTATTAGCTTCCTACGTTTGAGCCGGGTACTTGTCGGTGAGGTACGAGTTTACCCTGCGTTCAGTGGGGTGGAAGATAAGCCCGGTGAGAACCGAATGACAGAATTGACTGATACACGGTAATCAAACCGATATCCAAATCAGTTTGTCGGAGCTTGTCGTGTTGGTGCCCGCCTGGCTACTGGCAAACACCCCCTGAGCCGTAAAAAAAAAATTTAAAAAATAATCAACAGCTTCTAAAGTGGATTGGGATAGTCCTATATTTTTATTTTTTGATTACTAATTTCATTATTCTGTCAAAACAAAAGTATGTTTTGTGTTTTATTAAGAATAAATATTATTTCATATTTAAAGCTATTTATTTTAAATAACAAATCAAATTTATTTACCTAATCCTAACCAAATAATAAAATATTGAAATAGAAATGTCAGTGGCCCTTTAAAAACTGGAAAATAGTCAAAATTGTAACGTTTGGCTCTTCTGTCTCAAAAGGTTGCCGACCCCTGGTCTAGAAAGCTGGCCAGGCTTAAAAAAAAGTTTGTCTATTCACTAAATATATTGGATATTTTAAAACTATTTGTATCAATGCACCGGACTTTATTTGTTTAAATACTCAACTTATGAAATTAAGAAATTACAAAAAAGTCTAAAAGAAATAAATGAGTTTGGGGGATACAATTTAGAAAAAAACTTACAAAGTAAGTTTGTGGAGACCAACGAGTAGACTGGTTGTGTTGATGAAGGCTTCATCTCTCAACTCTACTTTGTAGGTACTTTTATATTCCAGGCTGGCAATGGCATTACTAAAGCCCATTATAGTGGGCTTGTTTATAATATTAAAACTACATGTATTTAAAAAACCGAAAAAAAAGAAATATAGGCCTGCTCGCCGGTCAGAATATTTTAAACCTTGAGAATAAATTACTGATGCCATCTATTGCAGTGGAGTCTTTTTTTTAAAAATTAGTTTCTCACGCTAGTAGTTCTAAGAGTTCAATAAAAAATATTTAAAAAAATAAAATAAAAACAATACAATAACCTCAGCATATTCAAGTCTGCACGTGGGATTTGTTTTAATTGTAATTTTTTTTAACCCAGTGAGAGTGTGACGAGGGGTGGAAACAAAATAGTCTGGGAGAGGAAGTGGGGAGGGGGGTAATCTTTTTACCATCGCCTCATCAATTGTGACGCCGTCTGTGGGGGGGGGGGGGGGGGGGGGGGGGGGAAGGGGGTAATTAAGTTTTTGGTCCCACCACCAAGCTGTCAACGGAGAGACCACCAAACCACATCGGTTAGCTGCCGGCATCGCACAAAAAAACCGGCACCAGACAAAAACCGGCATCAGATAGAACCGGCAGCCGGCGTAGATATGCTAATGAAGATGGAGCCGGCAGACGACAAATGCTACATTTCTGGATGTGTTGAATTCACCCCCCCCCCCCCTCCCTCCCTTTCCATAAATTGTTTCCTGTATCCAACACCGAGTTTGCACACCGCGAGTTTGCGCACCATTAAAAATTAGCAAGGTGCAAAAGAAACGCCATAAAACGTATTCTGTAAAAGAGGCCATTAGCTGCGGTGAAAACCATGTCCTAACCCCGGGAGACGCCGGGATTGTTCCGTGAAAACCCCGTTATTTGTCTGAACAATCAAAGCCAGACAAACCTCTGGTGAGCACTGTTTCACTGCTCACATTTACCGCATGCGCTTTTCACAATCGCGGATATTTTTTTATCACCAGTTAAAAACCGTTAATTT